GTCTCATTGAGTCATGAGAACTCATTTTCAAGAGAGACCTGTTAAGGGAGCAGATGGTGGGGGTTAAGGGCCTTGCTCAGGGGCCCAGAGTGGGGCGAATGAGGGTGGAGGGAGGTGTGGGTGTTCCACCTATTCCACCCACATTTTTTTTAATGTCGACTGTACCGGAAGTTGAACCTGCGACTTTCCGATCACAGGCCCATCTTCTAACCTCTGCACCACCAATCCCCCTTAACCACTCACGTTTTTAACAATGATCCGTGTTTTGAACCGTGATCCAAGAAGACGTGCAAACACGGGGCCTCCTCACTGATTATATCTTAAATGTAGACGGATTTTAGAGGAGACTGGTGTATTTGAAGTGCACGCGCGCGCACACACACACACACACACACATACACACACCTGTAACACATGACAGAGGAGCACCCAGGTAAAGGACGAGTGCACGTCTGCCCACCTGCTACACAACTAGAGAGTCGGTGCGGTGCAGGAGGTGACGGTCGTGCAGTAAGACGTGCGTTTCATCACAGCTGACCGTGAGGAAGGAGGCAAACTGCTGCTCTCCTCCTCAGAGTGGGGGGGTCGGGGGTGACATTATCTCCTCCTCAGAGTGGGGGGGTCGGGGGTGACATTAATTGATTAAGTCATACAGTAAGAAAATGTTACAAACTGCTGCTGACTCTCGACACATCTGAACATCCGTCAAGCCTGACCCGCGTTAAGCCCGAGCGAGTGTGCCCACCCACCTTGATGGCCTCCACGGAGTCGTACTTGTCCAGTTTGTTGATGTGGTTGGTGATGCTGGTGTTGAGCGGCGCCGCAGAGATGGGGTGGATGACGGTGGCGTCGTGGGCCTGCTGCTGGTAGCGCTGGCAGTAAGAGTAGACGAGCAGAGTGACCAGGCAGCCCAGGATGGAGCTGCTGAGCCCCACAGCGATCATGTGGAAGAGGTTGAAGTCTGAAAGGAGAAACGAAAGGCTGGACGTGTTTGTGATGATTCAAACCGTGCGTGAACTGAAAGACTCATTCATGCAACAACAGAGCACTCAGTCATAAAAACACCCCCAGCTTGTTAGATTTATTCCTTTCCTCTGTCTGAGTACGTGTTGAGAAGAGAAACGCTGATGACCTGAGTTCACGTTCGCTTTTTACATCAGACCATGTTTATTTATTAACATGATGAGAAAGAGCGACGGCATGGATCATTGATTACAAAGTTTACACTCAGTTCTGCAGCACGGAGCGTACTCTTTGATGCACCTCCTCCTTTATTCACATCACACTGGAAGACTGGGGCGGTCAAAAACATCCAGGGGAAAACATTCTGTTTTACTATATTAGTGAGCTCAGTGAGTGTTAACAATTAATATCTTACCTGTTGTAGATAACTTTTTGAAGACCTCAGTTTGGAGAAATAAAATTTTAATCTGACCAGATGAGGCAACAGCTGGACCAAACGTGGCCAAGAACAACGTGGATTGCTGATTTCTCAAAACGACTCGAATCACAAATAAATCTCATATCAATAATTTCCTGCGTGATCAATAAAGTTCTGTCTTATCCTCCATCAGAAGCAAAACAACTTTCTCTCTCCTAAAGGGAAATTGTTGACGACGTGACGGCAGCTCCAGGCACAAAGCAACAAAGAGCAGCTTAGTAAAATAAAATCCAAACAAAATAAAACAAGTAGTGTTGGATTATAATAACTGATATTAGTGGTTCATAATCTGTCCACAGAACTCCATTTAAAAAACATAACTACATTTTAGGGCTTCAAAACAGCTAACTGGATAATATTCATAAAGTTTAACAACAAAAAACATCACAGTAGATGAACTAAAGTTAAAGGTGGAAATGAAAAAATCTGAAACGTATTTCAAATATCTTTTTTCTTTTTTAATCAAACAATAAACAAACAACCCCATTAAATTATTCAACCCTATAACAAGTTAATTCACTATAAAATAAAATAAATATAAAATAAAGATGAATGGTGATGATTGCAAATTAGTGATGATCATAGATTACTGACGATTAAAGAATAGTGATGATTATAGAATATTGATCATTATAGATTAGTGCTGATTATAAACTAGTAATGATCATAGATTAGTGATGATTATAAATGATTGATAATCAAATTTATGATTATAGATTATTGATGATTATAGAATATTGATGATTATAGAATATTGATGATGATAAACTAGTGATAAGAGAATATTGATGATTATAAATGATTGATAATCAGATTTATGATTATAGATTAGTGATTTATAAATTAGTGATGATCATAGAATAGTGATGATTATAAATTAAGGATAATCATAGATTTGATTATAGATTAGTGATGATTATAGATTAGTGATGATTATAGATTA